AATAGCGAACGTAAGTGCCTCGCGCTAGCAGATGATGGAGTCGATGGGATGTAAGAAACGCGCTACGTACTCTCTTCAAATTGACCATGTACACTCAAGAACAGCGTCTCCGCAACAGGCCATGCATCGAGGCAGAACTTCTCCGCCGAGCCCGTGATGTCGTGCTTCGTTCCTGGTAGCTTCATGACCGTGCTGACTGCCGCGTCGCGCCCAAAGTGCATGCTGCTCAACAGCTTGCCCGGCTGTTGGCTCACTCGCATAAGGTTGCGTGAGCCCGATGCCAGCCAGGGCGACCATTCGAGCTTGGTCTGGTTGGGTAGTTTATGCTGAAAGCCCTGTATACGAGCACGCGCAGGGATAGACGTCTGCGCCTGGAAAGAAAACGTCGCGTGATCGCTGTAGACCTCAGCGAGCGCCGCCCGTTCATCGTCAAATAATTTGAAGAACCTACGGAACAGACTTTTAGCACCCGTTTCATTATGCGAAGGCGGATCCGAGCCTTACGAACCTTGTAAGAAAGTTGGGAATGATAGCCTCGTTGCCGTTCAGACCAGTGATGAATGACGGACACATGTCGGCGGGGAATATCAATGAGGCTGGTAGCTCTCCGACGTGGACTGGCGGAGTACCCGATGCGCCCGGTTCAGAAGCGAAGGCGATCCTGGTCATGGGCTCCTGATCCAACATCTCCAGTGAGGGGAACCGGCGAGCGATACCGCTATAATATGATTAGCTCTTCGCAGCGGGTTAAAGATGAATAATTCTTACCTGCGGTAGGCTTCAAGTTTGCCTGCCTTGATATCATCTTCGCGTATGGGGTTACCGATGAGGATGAGCTCTTTCAACTTCGAGAGCTTGTCCTTTCGGTCGGTGAGCGCCGAGATGGTGTCAAGGTCTTTCCAGATACGGAGGTTGTTTCCCTCGAGAGACAGGTTGACGATGTCAGGCAGATAATGAGCGATCGTCGCAACCTTCGACAGACTTTGCAGGTGGTTATGTGCGAGAGATATTGTCGTGACCTTGCGTGTTCAATCAGTCATGGCGTTCGAGCTATACGTAGTCATAGGAAGGAGGGGAGTTGTCAGGGAGCACTACGCTGTCGGCCACGATCACCTTTCCTCTCGCAGCGTCAACTGGACATCCGGCAGTCCCCCGCACGCGATACTGGCGATAACCAAGACAAATAAAGTGCCCACACGCGATACGTGCAATACATGCAGACCACAACATACGTCCGATCTGACCGACTCCTACCCGCCACTGACACCCGCCACGTCGCTCCTCCCCCGATCCGGCAAGTACGGATGTGGTATGAGCAAGAACTCACCGGTGGTTTCAACTGTGCCGCCATCTTGAAAATTACCGAGCCCTCCTTGTCCGTCGACCGAGGATGGCCAGGCGGGAATAATTTCGCATCCTTCAGCGTCTGGTCCTCTTGCATGCGCTGTACGGGTATTAGCATCAATTGAAATATACTCGACTTTCACGCAACGTACCTCAAGATTCAAGAAGCCAATCTCAGCATTATACCGCCTGTTCACGAAGTCCCTCCAGACTTCAAGCGGTTTAGCCTGCTTCAACGCGGGCTTGGCCTTGCTAAGTAGTGTCCTTTGCAACCGCGTCGCCACCGCCGCTCGTGCGGCGTCACGTCCGCTTCCCCCCGCCGACGCACCGCGAATATTCAGCGACCCAACGCCGGGTGTAACGCGCTATATTGCACAAGACGATACATAGTAAGCAAGATGATCGCATTAAAAATGTTGGGTAAAGAACAAAGGTCAAGGGTACAACACAACAGATGTTCAGAATGAGGGAAGAGATTTACCGCGCGCGATGGACCCGCCTCTCCCTTAATCTCATTGATAAGTTTCGGCCTATGCGAGCGCGCCCGGGCCGCATCCTTCTTGGGCGCCGCCAGGTCCTTCATCTTCGCGTCGCCATCTCGTAAAGCGCCGGCCTTATGCAGCGCTTTGGCGACGAACTTGTTGGGTGCGGGCGTTCGTGGATTATTGTGTGGCATAGACTCTGAGTACATGGTAAGAAAGAGGCGCGCGGAGGGGATGGTGGTGGCGGTTTGGAGGCAAGTGGCGGCGGTCGACTCGACCTCGGGCGTGCGACGGTCTGAGACTCGATCGGGGCCGCGGACCGCGACACCCGATGTGACGGGCTGTGACTCCCGCTGACTTTTGCCTCGAAAAAGGTTCCGTGTGGCGTCGCTGTATTTGGTGTCATTTTCTGAGTATTCTACGAGTCTATCGGACAGAGTATGCGGGAGGTAACCCAGCATTTTGCCTATCAAGAACGTCGACGACCAAGCCGTCATCAGATTAAGTATTAGCCTCGCGACCAGGCTTAGGCTACTCGTACAGTACAAATACACCGCCAACATATTGCAATGTTCGAAAGATTCAGAAAGTTCAGTTCAGTCTCCAGTCCATCAAGAGCATACATAACTACGAAAACTCAAACACCTTTCCCTTCACCTCCCATCCGTACCACTGCCCTGCGCACCCTGCGACGGGAACACCGCATACCGTACCTGCCCTGTTGGCGGACGTCCTCCCGGGAAGCTGTAAGCTCCAGCAGCGGTAGTGACAGGAGGCAGACGTGCATCTTGCCGTGGCGAAACCTGTATGTTTACAGGTGACGCGCCGGATGCAACGACGGGCATCGGCCATGGCGGATTCGACGTGCTCACGCTACCGCTCGCCGGCCGAGTAATGGTCGAAGCTGACAATGGCCGCATGGCGCTGCCGCTGGCTGGACGTGTTGCGGGTGACGACGTATTGCTATTCTGTGTTGGTGCTGGCATTTGCGGAGGCGGTGGGGCTGACCCCGGCCCGGACAATACGGGTGGCGGCAGCGCAAGTGAGGGTTGTGCGGATGGAGGCGCGGGTGCTGCGCGAAGTTCGGGCTCGCCTGTGTTGTCTTCGCGCTTTCGTTTCTGGTTTGGTCGGGTAGTGCTTTCCTTCAGCCCGAGTGATGTCGCTTTAAGCAAGATCTGGTGTCTGCAAAGTACGTCAGCAGTATGATCTTCGTGAATTGGGTAAGAATAGGCCTACCGAGACCGCGAAGGACCCCAAGACTGGACGACCCAGTCCCAGTTGACATCTCCCATACTATTCGTACCTTTGCTTTGCTCGGCCAAGCGCTTGAGTTTCTCGATTTCATCGTCAGCCCAAGTCCCCGAAGCGCTAGCAGTGGCAGGAGGCGGCGCAGAAGCAGACGTAGACGCAGGCGGTGCGGGTGCGGGTGCGGGCGCAGGAGCGGCTTGTAGCGCTTGCATAGGCGCAGGCGCAGAGGCTGGCGTTGGTTGTCTGCTAACTGGCAGAGGTGCTGAAGCCGGAGCATCATGCTTCGCTGGAGTCGCTGACGGCGGAGGCATAGAATACGTCGCAGGATACGGGTACGGATAGTACGCTGCGCCTGGTGCGTAACCAGGGTATGCCGTACCAGGAGCGTAGTAGGCGGGCTGAAGAGGGATGCCGTATTGGGGTGGCTTACTTCCCGATGCGGTTGGTGCGGCGCTGGGTGCAGGAGCCGAAGGAGCCGAATATGGGTTATACACGACTGGTGGCGCCTTGCCCACTAATTGCTGAGGATTTGCTAGCTGAAGACATCATTCAGCTCGCGATCAATGTCAGAGTCATTCGAGACTGCATACCAGTTCATCGCAAACGCGTCGAGCCTCGTTCAGCATTTCCATCGGGTTCACCTTGGCCGCGGGGCCGTGTTGATACGTTTGCTGTATGATGGAGGGAGGTGTTCCCTTCTAAATCCAGTGTGAGCACGCCAAGGTAGCAACTTCAGTGAGCTTTTACATACGATAAGTTCTTCAGCAGCACCATAGAACTCGGAACACAGGTTTAAGACCCTCCATTGAAACTCGTAGTACTGCTGATTCTGGGCAGGCATGCCTGGGATCGACGGCGCGGCCGTAGACGGCGTAGGGTACTGAGGCTGCTTGGTCGCTGTCGGGCTGTCGCGCGGCTTGCGGTTCTTGGAGCCCTTTGGACGCCCTGGCCTACGCTTCTCAGACTGGCCGTCACTCTGTGTGGCAGAGGAAGACGCCGGGTGATGTATGAACGAGTCCTGGCCCGACGTCGATGTCGCAGGCCTTGACGCACGATGAGCCAATTTAGCACACAAGTAGGGATATAATGTATCCTACTGTGGATGTCCTGCGCCGCCGTGAGACGTATGAGAATTCTTGGAATATTCGAGCTCCTCCTCTACCGCCTCGTCTTCCTCGTCCTCTTCCTCTTCGTCATTGGCCCGCTTCTGTGCAGATCCGCTGTTGGTTTGATAGGCAGAGGGCGGGTACCCCGCATTGGCATAGGCGTCCGCAGGCCGGATGGAAGGTGGGTGGAGAGCATGGGAGAGCGAGTGATAGTTCTGCGAGCCGTGGTCCATCCGAAGTAAACAATCCGGGAACGACGGGCCAGATCCAACACCTCGGGGCGGGGTGTGACGGAGAAAGAAACAAAGCCAGGGGAGCGGGAAACCAACAGGAAAACGTTTCTGCGCCGGCCGTTTGAGCCCGACAAACCCTTTTCCGGATCGCTTTACGACGAAATCAACCTTCCGATTGCTTCTCCCGCCCACGCTCTCAGTCCGTTGCTTCATCTTTGTCCGGAGCATCCTTTGTTGTTTGCATCTCGGGAGCAGTAAATACCTGTATACCAGCTATTTGGACCCACATGCGTTGAGATGAATTCGTGACGTCGAAGCTGAATGCGGGTCAGTGGCAGTGGCAGCTCGCGGCACGACGCCCCATGATGAGAAGACAACTAAGGGTGGCTTGTACCCGCAAATACAATCTGGGTTACCCTATCTTTCATGAGCCTTATACCCATGGACCTGGTCTTCATTGTGACGTGCTTCATCGGTCATTGCAAGCATAAACGAATGAGAAAACGTTCAAACCTTCTCCTTCGATTTCCCATCGATCCCCTTGATGAAAAGTGAATTCAAAAGGATTGCCAACATCTCTCATCAAGGGGCTCAACCGGGAATTGAACCCGGGACCTCCTGCATGCGAGTACGGGAATCGTACGGGATAGACCCGAAGCAGGAATCATACGACTAGACCATTGAGCCGATGACAAAGGCCATCTTCCAAGTTTATCTAGATGTCTTCACGTCTCAGTAGTTAATTTCGAAGCCATAAAGCGAGGTGCTGGTAGCCTGCAGAGTGCGATGTGCGGTAGAGCGCAGCGAGGTAAGGCAGCTCATACGAGCGAGATGTTATGTATCTTTTCATCAAGTTACCGAGTCTCCGAGTCCGACGGGCGGCGCGTCGCGCACCAGGATCAAGTCTTGCTCCGAACCACCATCTCCCAGACGCGTTTGCTCATCGACTCTTTTGCTTGGCTCGACACAACACATTCGACCAATACTTGGAACGACGTCATAAGTTTCTAGCAGAGATGACCTGCTGTTCAAGCTCGTATCTTATGATGGACTACCCCGCGCGCTCGCTCCGTCCATATCCGCTCGCTCCGTCCATATCCGAAAATGCATGCTTTGGGTGTCATGAGCAGGTCGCTTTCGTTGCACTTCTGCCATGTCTATGAAATGATAGAGGGGTCTCATTTGGGTATGGGTTAGCGGCAAGCGCCAGGACCTCGCAGCTTACAGCGCCGTTCGATATCGTGGGTAAACAAATGCATCTGACTGCGCGGTATGCATGGGTGCCATATATGCGCAGTATATGACAAGTCGAGGTCATAATATAGTTATCTCCCAGTCTCGCATAACTGACTCAAGATATTCATAGATTTTTAGAACATCTTCCCCGTGAGACAAACCCGGTCTCACAGATCCGGCTTGTGCTGTGCGACCATTCAAAGAGACAGACATGCAATTGTCTTATGCTACATCGTTGACGTCCAACCGCAGTTCTACATGTACAAGTCCTTCCAGACCTCAGTTCTTCTTCGGCACGAGAGGCTGTTGGAGCGGCCAGCGGTCGAAATGACCACCCATATACATGAGAGGGTTAAGCGACTCGTCTTCCTCACGACCCTGTGATGCAAGTCAATGACTGGGACACGTTCTTGCATTCGCAATGATAACTCACAAAGAAGTTATGGGGGAATCCGAGGTCGAACGGCACGACACTCTCGATCTCCTTGATGTGCTCTTTCGTCAGGGCAATCTCGAGCGCCTTGATGTTCGCATTCAACTGTTCGACCTTGCGACCGCCGACAATTGGGAACACATATGGCGTCTTCTGGAGCACGTAGGCAATTGCCACTGAGAAAGGTTCAGTCGGGTGCATGAGTGGTAGATCGGTGAGGACTGACCGGCCTGGATGCTCTTCGCGCCGATCTCGCCAGCAATCTTCTCCAGCGTCGACGCCATCTTCTTCTCATCCTCGTTGCGCTCCCAGTTTCCGCTGAGAATGGTGCGACCGTTCTCGCCCGTCTTGCGGCGTGCATCCTCCTCGGCGTCCGTGCGAATCTTACCCCCGCCAACAACATCCCACGGTGCGAGCGCGAGACCAAGGCGGCGCGCCATGGGGATGATCTCCCGCTCGAAGTCACGGGCAAGGACATTCCAGCGGCCTTGATAGATGACGAACGGGGTCTTGCCATGATCATGAGCGTATCGGTTGGCGTCTGCGACAATCCAGGCCGGCGTGTCCGATATACCGAGGTATAGCACCTTGCCGGAAGCGACGAGGTTGTGTAAGGAGTTCATGACCTCCTCGACACTATACACTCCTCATCAATAACATATCTTCGAAGGTATTGACGTTGCATACCCGCTGCTCCAGTCCCACCAGTGGACGTATAGGATATCGATGTACGACGTGCGTAGCTTCTGAAGCGACTGATCAACCGAGACATGCATGTTCTTGGTGCTGTTTCCGCCGAAGTTAATCTTGATTCCAACGGAGTCGTTGGTACGTTTGTTCTGCGTTGTGTACTGCCGATTATGAGCAACTACTATATCAAACACGTTGAGAAAATCGAACGGACCTTTGTGGCGATAACCAGCTCATCGCGGATACCGCGAGCCTCCATCCACTCGCCGATGAACTTCTCGGAAGTCTCCTCCTGACTTCATTCCGGATGAGTGAATTGTGAAGCAGCAAAAAGAGGTCTATGCTTACTAGTTGTTTGCGGTATCGATGAAGTTGCCGCCAGCCTCATAGTACGCATCAAGAAGCTTGAAACTGCTCTCTTTGTCCATAGCCCCCATGCCAAAGTTGGCCCATTTGTCGCCAATCGAACCAGCCCCTAAAGCAAGTGGAGAGACCCGGACGCCGGCCCGAGGGCTCAGAACGCGGTATCTTCCCAGCGGCGTCTTGGGAAGTGGCATCGGGGAGAAAGGGTTTACTTCGTTGTTGGACATTGCGCTAAAGATTCAAGACGAAGAGCACACTGACATTGAGGTAGACGACGACATGTCTATATATACTAGTTGTAAATATCCCTTGCGGTTGCCCGCTCCGGCGTCGCGAGCTCGTTGGCCAAG